TTATGTGTATGAGTGTTATGCCTGCATGTATGGAATGCACCAATACCATGCAATAACCACAAGGTCGGGAGAGGTCATCGAATCCCCTGGAACTGGAGTTTTGGACAGTTGTTAGCCTGGGATTCAAATCCGGTCCTCTGCAAGGGCAGCAAGCACTCAAACACTACTCAATCATAATTTCTTTGGCCCGGTATTTTGATTTTATAATCTTCAATGCTAAGAATATCACTTTGGGAGGCTGGAGAAATGGCTCAGCAGTTAAGAACACTGTTCTTGCAGAAGCCCCAGGTTCAAATCCCAACACCCACATGGCAGCTAACAACTGTTCATAACTCCAGTTCCAGGGGATCCAACAGCCTCTTCTGTCCTCCGCGGCTTTGCATGACATGGGTGTACTTACCTATAAGCAGGCAATACATGCATACACATAAAATAAAAAGAAAAAGAGTATCACTTTGCATAAATATGCAGTATAAAATGGCATAAGTATGTTTAGGACCATTTCAGAAACTGATGGGAATTCTGATGTTCTATCAAGCCAAACCTCATTTACTTTTTTAAGTTACATGCACACGAGTACAGGTGCTCATGGAGGCCAGGGGTGTCAGATCCACCTGGAGCTGGAGGTCCTAGCAGTTGTGAGCCACCTGACATGGGTGCAGAGAATCAAATTTGGGGCTTCTGCAAGAACAATATTCTCTTAACCACTGAACATCCTTCCAGCATCCTTTTAATGATTTTTTTTTTTATTGAAACGCAAGTCAGTAACAGATTTTTTTTTTAAGACAATCTATATAGTCTTAGTTGGTAAACCACACTGACCACAAGCTCAGAGAGATCCGCCTGTCTTTACCTCTCAAGCTCTAGGATTGCAGTCATGAGTCACCACACCTAGCCACAAACAGTAATTTCATATCAGACATTCTGACATAATACAGTCCAAAGAAACACTAATTTGATACATGCTGAAGACCGATATAAAAAATTAATAGCCTGTTTCCCATAATTAAACAAGGGGAAAAAACATGTATAGTAACAACACAGCAATTCATACATACACGACCTCAGCTCTGAGGCCATTTCAGGCAGCGTTTGCTGGTGTTGCCAGAGAGCATGCACAGTGCCAAGTGCTCATGCCACGCGCTCAGAACCAAGGCCGCAGTGAAGATGTGTGCGGCAAAGCTAGCAAGCACTTCCAGAAAGACCCTACATCCGTGTTTGACTTTAAATTCTTTTTCATTCAGAAGCTTTTTGCCATTACCAGATTTTTCATGATTTCCCACATTCAGTTACATGACCTACAGAGCATGACCCACTACTTAAGAAAATGTGCCTCTTCCTTACTTATTTCTACTTTTTAAAATCAACTTTCCATAGTTCAATTCTATTCTTTTCAAAGAAAAACTATGAAAAAGACAGTTATTTACACTTGCTCATTCTTGCCCTAATATATTTTTGATCCTTTATAACAAAACCCAGTTAGGTTTAATATGATTAAAATCAAGACTCAAGAACAGCAAAAAGGAACCAAAAAGAAAAAAAATGTTTTCAGTATTTCCAGAAGCCTAGGCATGGCAGCTACTTTTTACACTTTCCAGCTTCTGTTTTAGTTTACTCTAAAACTCCTTTATTTTGGACACTTCTGACTAGTCACCACAAGGTGGAGGTGCTTTTACAGTTTGTGAAGTTTATTTCTGAAGTAGTAGCAACAGCTGTCAACTTAAAAAAACTATTTAAGGTCTGGTATAGTAGCACACAGCTTTAATCCAGGGACTCTGATGACAGAGGCAGGCTGATCTCTGTGAGATCAAGTCCAGCATGGTCTACACAGAGTTCTAGGATAGTTGGGACTATAGGGAAACCCTGTCTCAAAAAGACAAATATATCAATAAAACAAAATTAAGTTAAAATATTCATAGAGATAATATGCTTAAGATAATTAAAGAAAATGTAAAGACAAAATCTTTGTAATTTGCAACCATGAAGGGCAAAAACATCCATATGAAATAATTCAGGAACAATTCAGTGTTCAAGTCTTCATGAAGGAAAAATTAGAGAATGAGTTTCTAATCAAAAAGAAAACACATGAGCATTAAATATACAGTTATTTGTTCAACTGAGAAAAGATAAAGTTTAAAAGGGACAATGATGTATTGGACAAATATTTACTGTAAATGTACAACTATTAAAAAATGGAAGAACAGCTGGGCATGGTGGCACACGCCTTTAATCCCAGCACTTGGGGAGGCAGAGACAGGCGGTCTACATAGTGAGTTCCAGGACAGCTGGAGCTACAGGGACACCCTGCTTCAAAAAAAAAAAAAAAAAAAAAAAAAAAAAACAATAATAATAATAATATAATTGGAGATGGGAAAAAAACAAAAATCACCAATAATTCTTCACAATTACATCAATAGACAGTAGTAGCATTGTTATTCAGAGACTGGTATGTATGCAATGTGGGAGAAGGTAAATGAGACATCATGGTACATTCTTTTTGTATGTGGGAGTTTGAGTACAAGGATGCAAGGTCAGAGTGGTGTCAGTCCTTGCTTTCCACCAGTTTGATATGGTCCCCTCGTTGTTAGCAGGGACTAGCTGGCCTTCAAGCTTCCAGGGATTCTCCTGTCTGTCTCCCATCTTGCCATAGAAGCACTTGGTTACAGATGCAGCTACTACATCCAACTTTACATGAGTTCTGGCGACTTGAACTCTGTGTCTTCACACTTGTGCCCCAAAAACTTCATCCCTGAGTCATCTCCCCATTCCAATCATGAGTCCTCTAATTCAGTCATTGCCTATGCCTTAAAAATTCTAGGAAATAGGGCTGGAGAGATAGCTCAGTGGTTGAGAGCACTGACTGCTCTTGCAGAGGACCCAGGTTCGATTCCCAGCACCCACATGGCAGCTATGAACCATCCTTAGCTCCAGTTCCAGGGGAATCCGAAGCCCTCTTCTGACCTCCGTGGCACTGCACGACACGGGTACACTCACATACATGCAGGCACACTCATACATGTAAAATAAAAATAATAAAGAAATTTTTTTTTTAATTCTAGGTAATGGAAGTATAATTCATTAAATAGAAAGGATTCTCAATAAAATTATCAGCAGATACTTCATCAGAAACTTTGGCCTGGAAGTTCCACAATGACAATATTCTGGAGCCAGACAGTGATAGTTGGATGATTACGAATATATATAAGTAGTACCACTGAACAACCCACTCAAAAATGGTTAAGATGGAAGTTTTATTAGATGTACTTTGCCACAGAGCTGGGATGAGATCTGCTGAGAAACAAACCAAGGCACACAACGTGTGAACAATGTGACTGTCACCACACTGACTGCCAGTTTTTGTTTGTTTGTTTGTTTTGGTCTTTTTGAGACAGGGTCTCCCTGAGGTCCCAGCTGTCCTGGAACTCACTAAGTACACCAGGCTGGCCTTGAACTCACAGTGATCTGCCTGCCTCTGCCTCCTGAGCGCTGGGATCAAAAGGTGTACATCACTACACCAGGCTGACTGCCAGTTTTGAACTGGCTAATCCAGCTGTCTAGGCAGGTGACCCCTTCCTCCCTAACCACTCCCTGTGTATCGCCCCAGGGTACATGTCTGGTCAAAGAGGCCAATGTTTCCCAGTAAGAGAACTGCCCTTTGGTCAAGGCTATACAAGTACAAGCAGGTGTGCTCTCCTGCTAGAACCAAGAAACAGGATCTCAAACCAAGAACTCTGGCACACGAGGCAAAACTCTACCTTGAGTTACATCTCTAGTACTTCAATTTTTGTTTTTTAAACAGCTGGATGCTGTGTGTGGTGATGCATGCCTTTAATCCCAGCACTCAGGAGGCAGAGGCAGGCAGATCTCTGTGAGTTTGAAGCCAGCCTGCTCTACATAGAAAATCCAGGCCAGCTGGAGTTAAAGGGAGACCCTGTCTCAAAAAGAACATATCCTTTTGTTTGATTACCTTTTATTTGAAGATAATTATAGACCCGGCCAAAAAACAGAAAAAGAAATAGCTGGCAAGTATTCTAGACACCATGGTAAGTCACATGCTTGTCAGAGGATGGAAGCCCCAAAAATTCAGAAATTTAGGCTAGGTATGATGGTTCACACCTTTAATCCCAGCACTCGGCAGGCAGAGGCAGGGGGAATCTCTGTGAGATCTAGGCCAGCATGGCGTATGCAACAAGTTCCAGGACAGCTAGGGCTACAGGGAGACCCTGTGTTTTAAAAAAAAAAAAAAAAAGACTTACAATTGTCTTAGCAAACGTCAATTTACAATTGTCACTGAGGCCCAGAATAAGAGGGCTCTGGAGCAAATCAGGAGATTATATATATATATGTATTACAGTAAACCCAATACTGGGCCCATAGGATATGGTATATCCCAATATTCTAAGATATGGAATTTTTGGAAAGACCTGATAACAGAAGTCACAATACAGTGTCAGGCTTATTTCTGTGTCCCAGTGATTAAGGTAAGCATCATTAAAAGTGAGAAAACTAAAACTGAATGCCTCTTGACTTGATATAAAGTATACCATACAACTAGGGAAGAAATGCAATTAGAATATGATTAATTTAACAGGTGTGGTAGCACACACCTTTAAGGCCAGCACTCGGGAGACAGGCAGGTAGATCTGAGTTCAAGGCCACTCCAGTCTACAGGGAGACCCTATCTCAAAAAGACAAAAACAAAAACAAAAAACCCAAAAAAATCAACAGCAACAAGAATATGACTAATTTGTTCTAGATCTAATGTCTAGGATTTAGAAAAACTGTTGCACGATTTGAGGGGAAAAAAAGTAACTAAATACAGACACTGGGGCACTATGGACAACTCACATAGTCACGGTGTGTTGGATCATAAAAACAGGGAACTATTTAAGAACATTTTACATTTAAGAAAAAAATACTATGGTGAATTCATATTTAGATCATAATTTTAATAAGCCAACAATACTCAGTTTTGGAGGTAATTAAGAAAATTTAAACTGTATTACATATTAAGAAACTTATCAACTCTATGGAGATTTTTTGCTATATCCAACAAGTATTGGGGCTGAAATTATCTCAAATCTGAGAAGTGTTTCAAAAAAAAATAAAATAAAAGAGGTGGGAAAAAGAATCAGGTATAACAAAACATGGTGGTAACTAAAACTGGATTCTAAATATAGAAAAATTAGTATCATGTTTTCTATTATTTCAGTGAACACATAAGACTTCTAATAATAACTAATAAATCAGCCTTCCAAACAAATATTCAATATATATAAATTAACAAGTTTATTATTAAGAAACTTTAGTAGTAGGCAGTTTTAAAAAGAACGACTGGGTTTTACAACATGAAAGATGACACTCCACAGTAGGATATATACAAAGATAATTTTAATGTAATTAAATACTATCTAAATTAAAAGGCCATAATTCAAATAGCTAATTATAATTACTGTGTCTTGGTGAAAGTAGTTGTAGCTCTCCATGATATTCACCTACCTTCTTAGGAAGGCTAACGACCTCAAACTCTATTATTTACTGCAATCAATGCTGAGTTTATTGTGCTAAGCATACACTATCACAGAAAGCACAAATGCCACCTGGAGGGATCTTTTCTTCAAATGTATCTCAGGCATCTTTTAAAGTGCAAGCTACAAATGGGGCTACATTCTTAAACAAAAGGTTTGTAAAAGAAGTATCTGGGTTAGCTATCCAACACTGCCACAAGTGGTTATACAACTAACCGAAGGAAACTGGCAGCACTCCACTAACTCCAGTTTAGTGTAGCAAGGTCTTCCTTGGTAGCAGAGTTCTAAGCTCTTATTACACTACCAGCCAAACATGTACTCCATCATTCTTGACATGAGACTTTGGCCTTTTTTGGCGTTTGTCTGTCAGAAATAACCTGGTAGTCATTAGTAGAAGCTTTGTATGTGGTAGCAAGAGGCCTCATGGTAGAAATCCTAGGAGTACTTCCAGGTTGTGGTATGGTTTCTTCAGTGATACTCAGTTTTATGGTTAATGGCTAATTTTAAAAGAGAAAACAGTATAATGCATTTATAGCAATGAACTATGTATTTGAGACGTTAAAATTTGGTTTATAACATCTTTATGCAAAATTTCGTCCCTTTAGCAAAGGAAATAACATCTTTAATGAGAAACTGGAGTAAGGTCAGGTGTGGTGGCACTCATCTTTAGTCCCAGCACTCAGGAGGCACAGGCAGGCAGATCTCTGTGAGTTCAAGACCAGCCTGGTCTATATAGCAAGGTCCAGGCCAGCTGGGGCTACCAGGAGACCCTGTCTCAAAAGGAACAGGAAGGAAAGGAAGGAAAGGAAGGAAGGGAGGGAGGAAGGGGGGGAGGGAGGGACCTATGGAAGGAAGGAAGGAAGGAAGGAAGGAAGGAAGGAAGGAAGGAAGGAAGGAAGGAAAGAGGGAAGGAAGGAAAGAGGGAAGGAAGGAAGGGGGAAAGAGAAGTAAGAAAAGTGAAAAGCTTCAAGAAATAGGGAATTTAAAATATAGATTAAAAACAAAATAGTTCTATAATGACCTCCAAATTTCAGGAGAATTAAAACACTCAATTCTATCACCTGTCCTATTAGAACACACTCATTTGCTGTGTAATGCTTCAAGACCTGTGTCAATAATGCTCAGACCTCTTGGATAATTAGGGACAATAATGACAAATCAAGAGTCACAATACCTACACTGTTCTTCAAAACATAATGACTTCCTCTAAATTTGTTTGAAATGAGAACGTTTTTATCTCTGATAGCAAGAGCTGGATAGCATCTTCTTTTGATAATCAGAACTATTCCAATATAAGGTTTTTCATTTGTGATACCATAAGTTTTATCAACTTAATAAAGTATAAAGCTTTAATATTTTCTCATACCAACAATGTATATACAGATCATTTGTTGTATATACAAATAGAAAAAAATCTAAAATACCAAACTTTCAAAATAGGTTAAGAATTGACTTCTTTTTCCTTTGCCATACTAGAGATAATATCAAAAGCCTGTGCATATGCTGGGCAAGTGCTCTACCACTAAGCTACGCCTACAGCCCAGACAAAGAAATTCTTAAAATTTCCAGACAACTTTCTGACAAAGATTTTAACTTTAAAATGTGAAATCTTAGACATTTGACAGTTTTATCTAGGCAATTATCTCAGCAGGAACTATTTAAGGGTACACATCCAATGAAACGATCAGTAGGCTGCACACTCAGTCTTCAACCAATCCATAAATACCTGATAATCACTAGTAGAAGCTTTGTATGCGGTAGCAAGAGGCCTCATGGTAGAAATCCTAGGAGTACTTCCAGGTTGTGGTGTGCCTAAGGTCTTGATTGGTGGCGTAAAGGCTAGAGATGGAGATGACAAAGCACCTCTGTCACTGTTTTCCATGACACTCTGGAGAAACAAACGCAGTATACCACTAATAGAATACTTAAAAGTTTATTAAACGAGTCTTACTTGAGTTGATCTCAGGAACATTTCAAATAATTTTAGCTTTGAGAAGACGGTATGTTTTTTAGCTAGCATTTGAGATCTAAACCTTCAGATGGAAACCTCAAATGGCCTAAATATAGCCACAGCAAGCCACAAGAACAAGAATCTTTGAGCAAGAGGGGCATTTGGGAAGAAGCAGTGTTCTAGAGGGAGAGGGAGGGGATAAGAGAGGGCAGTGGGGGTAAATGTGATCAAGATTCATGATACACATGTATAAAATGGGCAAAGAATTAAAAAAAAAATCATTACAAAAAAAAGAATTTCCCAGCAGACCCTATAAAAAACTCAGCAAGCACATAAAAAAGGAAGAGTTTAAAAAAAAAAAAAAAAAAAAGGAAAAAAAAAGGAGCGGGGGAGTTGGAGAGATGGCTCAGTGGTTAAGAACACTGGTTGTTCTTGCAGAAGACCTGGGTTCAAATCCCAGCACCCACATGGCAGCTAACAACTGTCCGTAACTCTAGTTCCAGGGGATCAGACAGCCTCTTCTGCCCTCCAGAGGCATTGCATGACACGGGTGCACTTACCTACATGCAGGCAATACACACATACACATAAAATAAAAATAATAAAATGTTTAAAAAAAGAAAAAAGAAAAACACAGAATTCTTGGGGAAACTTGAATTGGAAAACAACTCGAAGTCTAAAGCTACTCAGGACCCAGTAACCCAAAAGAGAACTCTCCTCTCTGGGATTTTGGTTATAACACATCAGTAATTGTACAAGGGCATGTGTACACTGGTGACAAGTATAATGTCTAACGTAATTATTAGAATAAAACTGTTGTATATACTTACTTGAAGTATATTCATGATGATTTTATGTCACAAAGAAAAGTTAAAACGAAGTAACTGTTGAGTATGCACAAAATAATTTTTAAAGACTTTGAAACAGAAATAAGTAACAGAAAGCTGAATCTGCTAACCATAAATTAGCATCTGTGTAAAGCAGTTCATGCTGAATAGCACCAGTCCTTCAATGCATTTAATGAGCCTTATGTTGCTCTGAACAAGAATCAGAGTGGGCTAGTGGACTAGAGGCCTAAATCTAGGCTCTACTTTCAACAACTCTACAAGTTGCTATTTAGACTTTTCTCTCTGGAAAATGAAGGTGTTTGGATAGATTAAAGTCCTACAATTTTTTTGGTTTACTCTTAGAAGTACTATAAATATATTTTACAAAGAAAAGGTGGAATAGTGAAGCAAGAGACATAATACCAATGTCAACACTTACCTTGTGCTTTTCATATAGATTAAGTAGATTGTTTTCCTTAAATCACCCAAAACTTACTTTATCTATACATGGCTTGACACCAATCATGATGGATTCTCCAAATATTCTCCCATCTTTGCTTAAGGCTTTCCGGGCTTGCAGTTTAGATTGGTAATGAATATGCATCCAATTGCCTGTGTTAGACATCTACAAAGAATAAAGTTACTACTTCATATATAGAATAAAATGTAGACCTAATGTACTCCATTACAAACAGAAACATGAGAATAAAATTATACTTTCACTTTTATATGAATGATACAGTAAAAAGCTGAAAAGGATGTACATTTGAATTCAATAAAGATCCTATAGAAATAGCTTCAGTAATTACTATCCAAATCTCAAATCTCTAACATTAGGGAATTATTTTTCTGAAAGTAACTCTTAAAAGGTAATTATTTCTTACAGAAAAGTTGTATTACTACCTGTTATGGAATTTTTAAAAACTATATCCATCAGTAGATTTTGTGTAAGAGTAAAAATTGTAAAGAGGGAAAAAGGAATTTTCCTATAACTTGTGTGAGGTACAACCATTTCTTAAGATTTCTATAAGATAAAGAGTTCTACAACCCTTTAAGCTTCGGAACTTCCTCTTTCTTTATTCCCAATAATGCAAGCTCAAAATGAAAAATATTAATATGATGATACAATCCCTCTTTCTTAAGGGACTGTGACCTTTTTAAGAAAGGGAAGGTAGATCCTGAACTCTCACTTTCCTTCTCCAAAACACATATTCTTTCAAAACTTAAAAAAAAAAAAAAGAGGAAGGTTGCTGGTCATGGTGATGTATGCCCTCAATCCCCAAACTCGGGAGCCAGAGGCAGGAGGATCTCTGTGAGATCAAGGCCAGCCTGGTCTACACAGTGAGTTTCAGGCCACCTGGGGGGTTATAGGGAGACTCAGTCTCACAAAGCAAAACACAACACAACAAAAAACAAAACAAGGGGGAGGGTGATAGTACTGAAAAGATAACTCAGCAGTTAAGAACACTGGCTGCTCTTGCAGAGGACTCAGGTTCGGATCACAGCACCCACATAGCAGCTAACAACCATCCGTAACTCCAATTCCAGGGGATCCGATGCTCTCTTCCAGTCTCCATGGGTACTGCATGACACAGGTGTACTCAACATGCAGGCAAAACACTCATACACAAAAAACTTTAAAAAGAAAAATTTTAATTTAGAAAAAAATGACAAACTTTAGAAGTAGTTTCCCTCAATTCATAGCTTCCTTTCCTTATACAAAAATCTTGAACTGGAAAAATAAATCAGTAAGCCTTACCACGTGCTTTAAGATATTTCCATACTGTGCAAATTGTAGTAATATATAAGAAGCAGATGCTTGTGGAAACCTGAAAAAAAAAAAAAACATCAGTTACCATTATCAATATAAAAGCAAACTACCCATACTTATAAGTGAGTCAACATAAATTATTTCACCCAATTGTCTAAACAATAAGAAATCCCTAGACATCTTGTTTCTTCCTCTATAATTTAATTGTACCAATGACCAGTCACTCAAAGGCAAGTACTTTAAAATCATTTCTGTCTCAGCTAGTCCATCCCTACACCCCATCTAAAATTTTCTCCCATAGCAACTACCACAAGCACTTCAAAAACAACAGTAAGCTGCAGAATTGCACATAAATTTACAGTAATGCATGGATTCACAAGTAGGTATATTATGTTGTAAGAAGGAAAACAATTTGCCAGGTGTGGTGGCACATGCCTTTGAACCCAGGACTCGGGAGGCAGGGGCAGACAGATCTCTGTGAGTTGGAGACCAGCCTGGTCTACATACTAGTCTACATAGCAAGTTCCAGGCCAGTTGGGGCTACAGAGAGATGCTGTTTCAAAAAAAACAAAAAAAAACAAAAAAAAAAAGGCAAAAATTTTAAATTATATCATCCTATCACTGTACAATGAGCATCTCCTAAAAATTTCTGAAATTTAGTGCTCAGAAATAAAATTCAGCTTTGTAATAATGTTATAAAATTATTTAAAAAGATGATTCAAAAATTTAATAAGCATATCTTGTGTGAGAGGCCAGCCTGGTCTATATAGTGAGTTCCAGGACAGCTGGGACTACAGGTAAACCCCATCTCAAAAAAACAAAACAAAACAAAAAAAGTTTTATATAGTTTTTTTTTTAGTACCAAAGAAAAGCAACAAATAAGGCAACTTGTCTCAGCACATGATAATAAAAGAAAAAGAATGTTTGCAAGTGAATATAGCATTTAAGAAATAAAACATTTTTCTAAGTGTCTATGCCACTTTGAGTAAAATCTAACATTCCAATAGTCTTTTAAAGATCACCCAAAACAATGGATGATTATCTTATGATGACCCTGAGTCAGCATAAGAGTTAAACTCTCTACTAAAGAACACAAGTAATGTATCTTAAAACTACTTCCCTCAGCTGGGTGTGGTGGCACATGCCTTTAACCCCAGCAGAAGCAGGCAGATCTCTGTAAGATCAAGGCCAGCCTGGTGTCCATAGCTAGTACCATGCCAGCTAAGACTATAGAGACCCTGTCTCAAAAAGATCAAAAAAAAGGCACGGGAAGTAAAAATGTTTATCCCTTAAAAGGAAAATGTTCCAGGCTTAAACAAATATAGAGGATAGCTAAAAGAGTACTAAAATTAAGCACTCTGAAAGTGTCTTAATTAAAAGACTACTAGAAGTGATTCAAGTAATTTTCCTAAGTATTACTGGGATTCTTCAAAATCAAGCCACTCATCACTCCTGAGCCTGAAAAAGGAGTAGACAAGAGCAACATTCAGCAGCTGCTGCTCTGTGAGAAAACAGAAAGGTTAAACATTAGCCAGCGCATATGCTAGGGGCATAGGGCTGAACAGGGGTTTTCCAGAAAATGGGAATACAATGGACCTGCTTTCACTGAAACAGAATCAGTTAACACAGAGAATCTCTAAAGCAGGTGGTAACTATGGCCTAGAAAAGCCTATTACAGCTGGGAACAAAAGTAAAATGAAAGGCTTTCCCCATTCATTCTTCTTCACCTACTGAATTCTTAAATTTTAAATAAATATGTAAAATTGACAAAACATTTACTGTGCATTACTTACTCTTCCTTCAAAGAGACCAATGTGTTATCTTTGTAGGTTTAACTATCAAAATAAACATAATAGGGTCCAATATAAGTAAGACAAATTACACTTTCACAAATAATCTGTACATGGTGTATTGTAAATATAAGCCTGAAATCCAAAGACCAGTTTTGCTGAAGCTTTTGCTGTTGAACAAGTTGTGATTCTCTGAAAAAAACACTTTTATCTGTCTATACTCCGATTTCTGATCAGTGGAAACAAAAGATAACACAGTATGATCTTGAAGGTGCTTCTTGGCAGTAAAAGTTTATGTTGCATCTACAGCTATCATCATGTTTCTAATATTAAACACTGTGGTTAGAATATATAAATGCCATGACATATGTATATAAATGAAGTTCAACATAACTAGTACAAACCTGGCTAAGTTCACTAAACACACAGCAGCAGCTGATAGAAAATAGAAAAGGTACGTCCTAAATCTGAGGGACAACTGTGCCTTCAACAACCAATAAATGACTTTAAAATAGAAACATCAAGCTCAAATGATATGCAAGCTCAAGTATAAGGGTGATATGTACTGAAGCCTGCAACTTAGTGTGAAATATAGCAACAACAGAAAGAACCGATATACCAATAGATGGAGCAGATACAGCCAACTGCTCATAGTTACAGAATCAGGTGGTGGGTATGGGTGTTCGCTGTCCAAGTCTTTCAAAGCTTTTGTATTGTTTAATAATAGCAAATACGGGGGGGTATGGTAATTTTAAAATGTCCAAAATCCTCACCCAAACACAGTCACCCAAGTGTCATCAAGGTGATCTTCTGAAGTCAGAGAATCTCCTTGAGTATAAAAAGGATCCAGCTGGGCAGGAGATAGTGTCGTCTTTCGTGCTTGACCAATATTTGCTGGACTAAACATACTTTGCCCTACAATGGTATATGTAGGAAGTTAGTTACCAATATGAATATGTAAGTTTATTTTAAAGCAAAAATCATAGTTTCAAAGACAAAGTATAATAAAAGTTGACAATTTATATGACATAATTATGTTTTTACATAAATAATTCAAAACATACAACCATCACAAAGCAATTTCATACTGTCATGCAAACAGAAGTCATTAATAATTGAGCATAATGTTTTTGCAAATGTTTATACATTATTAGCTTTCCAAGTGTTTCATTAATTTCTGCATAAGCCTACTAGAAAAAAATCTCTCATTCAATTCATGGAATTCTGAATTCATCTTACAAACCTACCATAATAAGCCTGCCGTAAGAATATTAAAAATCTGAGTTGGAGAGATGGCTCAGAGCACTGGCTGTTCTTGCAGAAGACCCAGGTTCAGTTCTTAACACTACATGGAAGCCAACAACCCTCTATAACTCCAGTTCCAGGGGATCTAACACCCTCTTCTGACCTCCATGGGCACTACACAACATGGGTGTACCTACGTGCAAGCAATACACTCATACACATAAAAAAATTTTAATTTTCAAAAATTCCAGCCTTACTTTTCCAGCATATACTTCAACAGTATGTGCCTTACCACTGAAAATTCATGTGCAGTTTTCTTTTACTTAGGTCCTTTCTACCTAACAGTCCTAAGTGGTTTTTTTTTTTTTAATATTTTATTGCTTTAATGTTTATGAGTGTTTTTGCCTACCTGTATGTATGTACACCATGTATGTGCAATGCCCACAGGAGCCAGAAAATGATGTCAGCTCCCCTAGAACTAGAGTTACAGATGGTTATTAGCATCCATGTGGGTGCTGGGAACTGAACCAGGGTCCTCTGCAAGAACTGCCAGCTCTCTTCACCACTGAGCCATCTCTCCAGCCCCTAAGTGTTATTTCTTAACCTTCATTAAAAATTATCACTTACTGCTATTTCTATGTGCACAACATACCATGTGAAACACTGTGTGTGTTTATTTGTTTTTGAGACAGAGTTTTACTATTTCAAACTAGAAATCCTCCTGCCTCAGCCTCTTGTGCTTTGATTAAAGATGTATACCACCATGCATGTTTTTGCATTTGGTTATTCTGATATCAAATGCTAATGTCACAGTATAAGTATGGTAATCGCTTGCAAATTTCCACTAGAAAAGATCATAGAAGCCCCCACCACCACCACCACCACCAAACATAGAGTGTCACACATGCTAGGCAAGCACTCCCACTTAGCTACATTCCCAATCCTTGGTTTTTTAAAGAGAGTGTCCCTATATAGCCCACAAAGCCATGGTGCTTCTGCATCACTCAAGTGAACACTCCACACACATATACACACATAACCAATTAAAATAAATCTTAAAATATAAAATGGAACATCCCATATTGAAAAATGTTATTCTGAAAATATCTGCTTATTGTTGGACATAGTAGTACTATATACCTTTAATCCCAAGAAGCTGAGGCAGGCAAATCCCTATGAGTTTGAGGCCAGACAGGTATACATAGTGAGTTCCAGGCTAGTTAGAACTAAAAAGTGAGACCCAGTTTCAAAAAGAAAAAAAAAGAAAATCTACTTATCAACTACCTTATCAAATATTCCTTTAGAAACTAATTATAGTTCTTAATACAAAGGCATGCCTTCAATAAACCAAAGATATTAAAAGCACTTTAGAATAAAACCTGAAGGCAATTTAATTTTTTATGTTCTATGTAATCATTAAGAATGTGAAACTTAGTTATGCTACATCATGTAATAAACTTCAAGCATGAAATTAAATGAAGGTTCAAACTGAGACAACTGACCTTTAAAAATAAGACAAATCAAAATTAAGTCTCAAATGAATATGCAACCTAAGTTTTGTCTAGTCAACTAATCTAAAAAATATAATTACTTTTTCATAATCTAAAAGTATTTATGTAAAATTTAACATAATTGCCCCCCACCAAGTGAATGTTAGTTGCTCCACTGATTTCACTTCCTTTTTAAAATCAGACTTCTGGTACCCACATGCTGTGCTTTGTAAGATGAAAATAAAGTGTGCCTATCAAACCACATCAGATTGGACTATAATTTGTCTCCCTTGGCAAATCACTATTCAAACACTCTTCATAAAGTTGGATTAAAGAGAGGGCAAAAGATCTTATTATCCTTAACGAAAATGTCTTTAATTAAAGAAAAGATTTGATTATTCACTAAATCATGGAACTAAATGAAAATAAAAGAAAAAATATCGTGGGAAATTTCAAGCAGACATACAAATACTGGGAAAGGGGTTCCTGGCAGTGTTACCTTCTCACATGAAAAAAAAGTAGCACAAATGAGTAACCAAGCATTCTGCCTCGCCCAATGTAGTCTGGCCCCTGACTAAGTCTTGGAAAGAAACACCTAAATTCTGGGAATTTCCTCACTAACAGGAGGATCTTTCTTATCCCTGGTGAGGCCCTGACTGGATCCTACAGTTTATACTAACAAGGTGACTCATGGCAGGAGCTGATGACTCCAGACAGTTCAACCATGTGATAAGGGATGGCACTCAAAAAAAATTTTTTTAAATGCAGTCCAGTGGGCGCTGGAGAGATGGCTCAGCAGTTAAGAGCACTGACTGCTCTTGCAGAGGACCTGGGTTCAATTCCCAGCATCCACATGTCAGCTGCAGGCCGTCACTGACTCCAGTTCCAGGGGAATCTGAAGCCCTCTTCTGACCTCTGCGGCATTGTGCGACACAGGTGCACTCACATACATGCAAGCAATACAACATACACATAAAATAAAAATAATAAATATTTTTTTTTAAATGTAGTCCAGTAAGAACTAAAATAGTTATTCATCTTTGTCCTACTTCAGCCAATGCTGACTCCTACCTACCTATACCAAAGATTTCAAGTAGCTATCTTTTTAATATTTCATTCAATAAACATGTTTGCTTTTCTTTTTCTGTTAAGACAGGTTCTCCCTGTAGCCCCAGCTGGCCTGGCATTCCGCCTGCCTCTGTCTCCAGAGTGCTAAGACTAAAGATCAGTAAACATGTTTCATAAGCAGTGACAGAAGAGAGGAAACAAAAAGGAATTAAAAGGGAACAGAATAGAAATAAAATAAGAAAACTATTAAACTCAGCTGCTAAGACATCTTCAAGAGCAAGATGTTATACTGTTCATTCAAAGAATAAAAAAGATGGAAATTAAAATGTCAGACACAAGAGAAACTTACTCATCAGGAAAGTCTCTAAAAAAGCAAAACACAGGGCCAGGTGTGGTGGCGCACACCTTTGATCCCAGCACTCAGGAGGCAGAGG